GCGGGCTGGGCCTACAAGCTATCCAGGAAAGTCACCACACATGCCAAATGTCTCGGCCTTCCTCCAAGTGCCACACGAGCATGGGCCAATATTGAGAAGTTCATGAAAAAATCTAAGAATAGACTATACCAAATATAATTTTCTTTAGTCTACTATGGCTTATGATTTTCTGTACTTACTAACATTTCTACCATTCAAGCCTCTGTGATCTGTATAGTTCTTGTTAGCAGTCCTATTCTCTCCAAGTCTCCTATGGTGTTAATCTGGATTATGTCAATTTCTAAATCATATTCCATAATATGAAATACTAGATCCACTAAAAATATAAGAATATAAATTCGTATTAGTTTTACTGTCCAAAGCAATATAAATATATATGTATCTATTTTGTTTTCTCTGTTAGGTAGACAGTATATGAAAATCTTTCTTTTTAACCATGTCACACTTGACATAAACAATAAGAAGAAAATTATCAAATGTACGAATGTAACAAATACACTTAATGTGTCACAGCAGCCTGTATACTTTTGGTGCTTTGGTAAAGGTTAGGAAATCTTCATCATGCATATTCTGATAACAAAAATTGGGCTGCTTCTTTGTTTAGTTTAGTGTTTAGTTAAAATACCAGAGGATCTAAAAATCACACACATAGTCATGATCATGGCAATTCTTGATCCCATATATCAAGTGGCTAACATTTAAAAGATGCCTCTGCCACCTCAGCCAGTGCTTACTGTGGGTGGATACATCCTTGATTAGCAACTATGGGTGTACTTTCACACACATGGGAGAAATAGTGGAATGAAAAGTGAAAATTCTGAAAAAATGCAAAATTCGAATGAGAGTCAGATTAAAAAAGTAAAAGAATGTGTAAAAATGAAAAATCCGAGCCAAACTTCATAATAAAAAAGTGAAAAAGGGTAAAAATGAAAAACCCGAGCCAAACATCATAATAAAATAGTGAAAGAAAGGGTAAAAATGAAAAATCCGCGCCAAACATCGTAACAAAATAGTGATAGAAAGCGTAAAAATGAAAAACCTGAGTCAAACTTCCCAATAAAAATGTGAAAGCGTAACAATGAATAACCCGAACCAAGCTTCATAACAGTGAAAAAATGGGAAAGAATGAAAAAATTGTGGGAAAATTCAGATTAAAAATCAATAAAAGAAAGTAGAAAATATAATCAAAATGAAAACTGTTGATAAATGTGAAAACTTTTCGTTTACTTGGCGGTGTCAAGTGTTGCCGAAATCTCATCAAATATTTTTAAAGATCTCATTAACTGCAAAATAATGAAAATATCAGCCGCATACTACCGATCACCAACGTCCACAACTCCCTCACATAACCAGAGTTCTTATTGTTGTGATTTCTATGAGTTGGCACGAAGTGCTAATACAGTAAGCAAGTATATATATATGAGAGAGAGAGAGAGAGAGAGAGAGAGAGAGAGAGAGAGAGAGAGAGAGAGAGAGAGAGAGAGAGAGAGAGAGAGAGAGAGAGAGAGAGAGAGAGAGAGAGAGAGAGAGAGAGAGAGAGAGAGAGAGAGAGAGAGAGAGAGAGAGAGAAGAGAGAGAGAGAGAGAGAGAGAGAGAGAGAGAGAGAGAGAGAAAATCAACTTCAATGACTCCTACATTTAGAAGGATTGGAAAGGGCTTGAAAAGACTTTCTAAATGTCTCAGATAACCTCTCTAGGACAAGTATTAAGGGAGCTATACCAGTTTAAAGTGTAGCCAAATTTCGAGGTTGTCGAATGTAGCCGAGTACTGCTGAAGATGACCTGAATTGGTTAGGTTAAGTTAGGTTAGGTTACATTAGGATTGGGAACAGGATCCATGCCTCCAAGAAAGAAAATCATCTTGTAGAAAAGGATCTGTTTCTATAACCCTTGCCTTTTTCCTTAAGACATTGTAGGTTTCTTCTATATTTCCTCCAATGCAATATCTTTTACCTGAAAACTAAGAATACCTTACATAAATCCTGTTAAATCCAATGTTCAAATGCTTAAAATAGGCTGTTTATGTGTATATGGAGATAAATAAATAAATAAAACTATTTATATACATATTCATATGCATGTTGGTAGTACAAACCATTTTTATCATTCCCTTTAATGATAAGGGTAAAGAAAAAACTTGGCTCATTTAACAATTCCGAAAACAGTATTGAAGATGAAAAATAATAAAAACACAGTAAATAAAAATAAAAAAGTCGACCATAACACCTGAAGGGAAACACTTCTGCTGCTCGTCCCCTTCACGCTTTGTAATCAAACCTCAACCCTCTCTTTACCTCCAAATAAAAGAACCAAACACAATACACCGCCACCACCCACAGAACTACACCGAATCACTCACTTCCTCAAACTTGTTCGACATGTTGAATAAATAAGCAGAAAACGCCTCAGATCTCGAACGTTCGTCCTCCTCGTAAGACTTGTCCTCGCCGATTCCTCGCGTGTTTGAAGGATCGCTGCGCCGCCGCTCGGAGCGAACACGG